TATTAAGACCTGTGGAAAGAAGAAGTCTTTCAGCCTCTGCTCTTTTTTAAAGCTTTTCTCTGTCTTCTTCACACTGGTCCTCACCGCTACAGGACTAATGGAAACAGGAAGAGTCAGACCTTTACCTAATTAGACTTCAAGGTGACTTCATATTAGTGGGTGGTTGTCTGGGGTCTTTGTTTGTGTGTGTGTGTGTCGGTGGGTACCGGCGGTCGCTGCAGTGAAAATGAAGTAAATCAGGGAGAACAGAGGAAGACAAGACCAAATGGACTGGAATTGGCTGTAATAGTTCGGCAGGTCTTTGTGGGCCCAGTCTGCCTGATCCTTTCTCCTCAGATCAGACTTATTAACTAGTAATCAAGGCCTCACTAGAGCAGAACACTGTAGATCTGAAAGTTCAGAGTCTTAAAGAAAACTTTGAATAAATCGATACGTGTCAACAGATGAACTGTGTGGATTTTATTTTAAAACGTTACTGTATTTCACTTGAACTTTCTTTTCTTTGGCCAACACTAAGAACTGAGAACATGAATATAGTTTATATGAAGCCAGTTAAGAGGAAGATAAATGTGATTAAAACATATTTTATACATTTTCCAAATGAACACACACATTGAAAAACTAATGTTGTCCCAAGTCCACCAGAAATGTGTGTTTACTGTGTGGGTGTGTGGGTGTGTGCTCATGCCCCATGATGGCAGCCATTAGACAGGAGTAAGGCAGCCATGATGAATCGGCACTTAGCTCTGGGAAGCGCACTTGCTCAATGGGCTGTGAATCTCCCGCTGCCACTGTCAGCTTGCAGAATGTTAAATAAAGTTATTTGAATATTTGTAATATTAATGTGCCAAAATGTCAAAAGCCCACTGGTGCCTGACAGGGAGAAAAATGTAGGATATACACAGCAATATATGATCGTTGTGGGTAAATATTCTCAAAAATGAGCAGCTAAATAAATACACGAGTCTTGGAAAGCGTATGGAGTGAGAAAAAAAAAAGAAAACAGTCAAATGGATATCACCATAAAATTACACTGACAATATTATGGACAGTGGTAATAGATTTTTGATTTCCACTTGTCCTGTTTCATTGGAATATTATGCACATGACCTCTTCTGAATACTACTAAGCTAAAGGAGGGTCAGGGGACCATTTCAGTCCTGCGATCAGATATCCATCCCACCTTAAAGACTGAACTAACTCACACCTGGAGGACCATTGAGGTTTGTGAACACAGTTTAAGATTTAAAATCAAACCTGACAGCTTTCTATCTTTCAGAGAGGCAGGCAAGACACGTACACTTCCACAAAAGGCTGTTCCTCGCAGCTAAAAACCATTTCAAGCAAAATTAAGTACGCAGTGTTTAGACATCTTCCTAACGACGACTAATTTGGACCCATTTATACCACCTCATTACCTTTAGTTTAAACAACTCTATAATTAGCTCACGGGGAAGTTTTTAATACTTGACAGAACTTTAAAATGATCAACGATGGGAAAAGTGGGGGGAAAAAACAAAAAACAACGGTGCGGAGCAAACCCTAATCGAGATAGCTCTAGGAACCACTTACCTGGAGACCACAACAACAATTTATGAGAGTGTTTCGACAAAACCATCAAATCAGTCCCAAGACGCCGGAGTGGGGCAGGACACGGACAAGACGAGCTTTACATTGGTAATGGTATAGTTGGGATGCTATTTGTGTCCCCGCTCGATTTAACAGGGAGGTGATAAAATATTTAGCAGATTGCTTACATAGCCAGAGGATGTGGGAGAATGGAGGAAAGATGCAGAGTAAGGGAGAGAGAGAGTGGGAGCAGAGGGAGACCCAAATGGCTTGTGTGGGAGCTAGGGAGCTGGTAATGAGGAGACTACTGTATGCCGGCACCATTGTTACCAAGCGCAACACCAAGCACGGTCTCTCTCTGGCCAACACCAACTAACAGCAGGCTGCACACACTCCGGTACAATTAGACTTTCTCCCGTGTCATATTAAAAGACTCTTAATTACATTAAAAAGTAGAAAGTAATTAATTTGTGGCCTGAAGACATTTATCACCAGCCAGTGTGCGTGGATTCAGACATTTAACATTACAGGTTCAAAGTAATGTGTTTCTGTGACTGAATACAAAATACAAGCAGAGCTGTGTGGTATATGCATATATATAAATATATATATAATATATATTTGTGTATATATTTGAATATATTTCTATATAAATTCTCCTATATGAATACGTATATACACATATCTATATACACACATATGTATACACGTATATATACACATACGTACTATCAAATAAATAATGTAAAAATCCTACTCTGGTCCTGGTTTGTGCGTGTCAGAGTTTTTTTTGTAAGAACATCCACACTATCCACAGTATATAAGGAGGATTCCATTTCACTTTCATGCTGCTGTCAATGAAGGGAATTATTTTAGCATGAAACTGCATTTTCCCCTCATTTCTGTTCATGTGATTCCATCTCTAATGGGAAATTACTTTGAACAGAGTGCTGAGGCCATGTTATTGTACCAGGCCCCAATTGATTGGCTGCCCATAGAGCAGTCGGCTTCCAAAACCACTTAAGAGTAAGATTCTGTTTAAATACTGGATTAGAAGCCCATTAAAAAGAGATTCTGTGGAAAATAAAAGGTTGAGAATGCTCCCACTGAACAAGCCACCACACGGAGATGAGGCACAAATAGATTCCCTACGAGTCCCCGGAGACTTCCATATTTATGGGAGATTTAAACTACGACATTAACTGTTGTTCTACTTCTGGTTCTTTTTCTCACTCAGCCTCATAATCTGGACTTTTTTTTTTAAATTTGCCGAGGCTTAAGAAAAGCCGTCGACATTACTCATGTTTATGCTCTTATCACGCTAACAACCCCTTACTGCAGCAATTTCAAGTCATTTCGGAAATGTCTATTTTAATTAGATTTATAAATAAGCGTGCATCTTTGAATCGAAATCCCTCCTTATTGGATGCATCCTCCCTCACAGACATTCTGAAGCGAGCTTGTTACATTACACAGCTCATATCCAATTACTGAGGCTTCAAAGATGCTCTTTAATAAGTAAACAACATTTTTACATTAAAATAATGGGAAACATCCCAAGATCATTACTTGCTATATCTCGCTAGCCGATGTTATCAACGCCCATCAACACTCAACGTGAGCCTGTTGTCCCTGCACACGATATGCCCTGCAGGAACTGTATGTGGGGACAATCTCATATGTGTTTATTGATCGATGACGACGAGCGCCAATCGATGTTATCTAGGGTCCACGTACCGTCTTCTGACCTCCAGAGGTCAGCTGGAGCTCCAAGCTACTCATTAACCGCGACACACAGAGGAAAATATCTGTGTTTGAGTGTGCAGGTTCATGAGCAGGGTGGAGAGCAGAAGGACGGGCAGGAAGGACAGAGAGTGACATTTTGAAACAAAAACACTGATTAACCGTGTGTTCTAAAATGCCAGGATTTACCTTTTCCTCAAACCCTGGTCGGTGTCTTCAACACATCCTACTGAAGCGGAATCAGATAATCCAGTGGTCTGCACCGTGTGCTGCGGTGAACCTTGACTACAGATGAGGAATCACAGCTGATGTGTCTTTTTAATGTGAAAGAAATGGACATAATGGTGCTTTACAAAGCACAAGCCCGTGTGCTACAAGATGGATAAATTATAAAAGGGATTGTGATTTTAGGTGTGTTGTTGCTCTGTAACAGTTTAGACTGAAATAGAACTAATCCATGCAGCCTTGTTCAGATAAACCGTCAACATTAAAAGGTGATGAAGAACCGAAGGCCTGCTGCTAACTGGAATCTTTATGCTGCTGATATTTTGTTCTCAAAATAGAGTTTTTAATATTTAACCAACGGATGCTGTAATTTTTCACTTGCAGCCTGCAGGTGTCTTTTGATTAGGAAACAGGTGCATGTGAAACAGAATAGGTGGTCAGACAGTACAATATCCTTGACTAGGAACGTGCGTAAGACCTGCAGTACTTACTCTGTGAAAACCTTTATCTGTGAAATAAGCTGATACATTTCATCAATAATATTAGAAAAGAAAACAATGCAGACCAATACAGAAAAAAGTTACGAATACAGACAATTTCACGGTCTGTTTTTCACTCACCTCGACACACGTTGCCGTTGTCAGGTTCAAATCCTGCCTTGCACGTGCAGCTACCAATAGGAACCATCCACTCTCCGTCCCCGTTGCAGTAGAGCTTTATTGGAACATCTACTTCCTCCGAGTTGAGGATACAGATCCCTCTGGCGATGACCAGTGAGGTGCTTTCAGCCCCTGTCATCGTTTCAGGAAACATTGCGAAATTTTGCACCACACTCGGGCACTTCTTATAAAACACTCTTACTGAGAGCAGAGACATGCAGGCTCCGTAGTCCTGGAAGGCCAAGTAGAACCCGTTCTTTGACAACGGCCCGAAACTCCGCACCTCTGTGTTCACTTTCATCAGACGTCCACCGAAGTCCACCTGCGAGAAGCTTTCATCTGCTGCGATTGTGTCCACCTTCAGATAGGGGGCCTCCATCCAGAAGGCCGTGCCTTTGGTGGCGATGACTGCGTCACTTTCGTAGTAGTAGAGATTAAATGTCTCCTTGCAGGAGCCAGGAACGTTGGGGATGGAGCTGCAGTCGCGCACAGTGAATCGAATTTCCACATAGATGCGCTGTGATCCATGCCGATCAATGAAGGTGGTCAGGAGCCAGTTGTTTTGACTGGGCTCGAAGACATTACACACCTGGTATGTCCTAATGGTGTTGAGGTTCTCATCGTATCCACTCACCTCCTCCCACTGTGGAAACAAAAAAAGAAAGAAGAGAAAGATCAGCCATCATCACCAAGAGAATGCTGTTTTTTTTAACACACTAATATTAGCTAAACATTTCTAAATATACGCCCTTAGCTAATATTAGTGTTCACGCTTTTGCACTGAATGTTAAAATCTGTCAGTCAGTTTGAATGCTAGAAACTGCAGCCTACTGAGGTTGTACACATTAATATGCTTGACAGCTGCAGCATACACGCTGCTACTGCATAATCATTAGGCCGCTAATTAAATAGGATGTACTGCCATTTGGTATCTATGCCCATTACAGTAGGTACCAGGGAGATCTGACATTTAAAATATGATATGTAACAAATTAAAGGATTATACACCAATCGTTTTGGACAGATTGCAGCAAAAACGTGGTCTTCGCAGGAAATTATGATGGAGATGCACCTGCAGAGAAACTGAAACATGACGGAAGGATTTTTATTTTTTCTGTGAGGTTTAGGAAAACATCAGCAGAGCCAAAAACACCTTTTGAATAAATCAATGATGATTATGTGCCTATCGGTTCTAATCAGAATCAATTTAAGGGTTCACCTTTGTAAAATAAAAATAAAAAAGAAGATGGGGTTCTCTGTCTTTTGAAGATTTTGTGATTACCAGCAGAGGGCAATGTAAGAAACACTGTAACCTTGGATGGCTTTTTTTTTGCCATAGAAGAAAGCTATCGTACTTAGATATTTAACTGTTGGCAATTAGGTTTTCATGGACAGAGTTTGAAGTTTAAGGCAAACTTAATTTGTAGCTGTTTTACTGTGACGTAGCCTTCGGCATTTCTTGTGTGAGTTTTTGGGTTCACCGCCAGAAATATTTAGCCCTGCCTGCTTAGTATTTCTGCTTCTGTATCTTCCAGGCTAACAGGACTCATTTGACCACTCTGATTTAGCGTGCATTAAATCGGGGGGAAAGATTCATATTTCAGGAGGACTTAAATACAAAGGTCACGCATATAAAACTAATCCTGTAAGGGTTTTCTAATAGCTCTAAAAGAGTTCCAGCACTCATTTAGCTCCCCCCACCACTGCACAACCATGAGCTGTAGGCAAAGAGAAGCTAATGAGCGCTGTAGTGTTGGGACTGGGCCGCCACTGTCAGTTCAGGTTCCTTTTGTGCATATATCTCCTGGTGTTTCCTCTTTCCCCTGACCTTTAACTCCCCAGGTGCTCAATCAAGGCTAATGGAGGGGCGGGCTTGGGAGGGGAGGGTGCACCTTTTTATACACCGTGCCTTAAAACAGGTCAAGCGATGGCCAAAAAACAACCATGGAATAAGTTTGTCCACTAAAGACTCCAAGAGGTCACAGAGGGCACAGGTTTGAGGTTTAGTTTTATATAAAAAAAAATGAAAATCAATGTTCTTGATAAAATAGTTTGACCCGTAAAATACACAGAAGCAACTAGAAGTGAAGAAGTTTGCGCTGGGTGGGTGCAAACAGCGAAGAGGGGGAAGACAGAGAGAGAGCAGTGACACTGCTGACATGATGAATGAGTTTACAGAAAACTGAGGTGCAAATTAAAGCCTTTTTTTTTTCTCTGCAGCTCCCTCTGCGCCCACTCTGTTTGGCTCTTCCCCCCTCTCCCCGTGCCCCCCGTCTTCTTCTCTCGTCTCTGCTCTGTAATGACCATTCATCAGCATTACAGGAACCTGTCCCTTTCAGCGCTGCCTGTTCATTAATATAGCCAGCCCCGGGCTCCTCTGCACCCGTCTGCTGTAGTCTAGAAGGGGGTCCACCCCGCCCCTCGTCTAGCCAAATGACCACCATCTTTCACGGCACAGAAGGGCTCGAGGCGTCTCCAATAATGCTCTTCTAAAATCTGCCCAGAAATTCACCGCCTCATATCATACTGACCTACATATTTTCTCACTTCGTCCTCCTCCTCGTGGTTACTCAGTGTCAGAGAAGTGTCAAAAACAAACAACACTCGGACAGGTACGACAGTCACTTAACAATAGTCAAATATTCTAAGACAATGTCACCACATGTGTGTTTTTAATATGGCAGGTTACTGACCACAAATTGATTCACGAGTCGCAGCCGTCCTCCAGATGGATCCTATTTCCTCACTCTGGATTTTAACTGGTATGCTTCAGGACTTCACCTCCTGTTCTGATCGTGTTTGTGAAAGTTGTATTGTGTCTACTTCGTTGTTATTCTCTCTCCAGAACTTTTCATTCGTCATGTCTTCTTCTCCTTCTCTGACCATGATGCAGAGGGAGCCATCGTCAGCTGTCGTTTAATAGAATCTCCCCAAGGATTTTTCTCTTCAAGCATTTGTGGAAGAAAATAACATTACTATTAATATTATTATACCATGGTGCTGGGTATATTTAGCTCTTACACCTCATGCATCATGGACCGGAAGATGATGCTGAGAATGATTCATATCAGCTGAAAGCAGACAAGTGCGTGGGAGAGAACGCCTGATTAACTTTTAAAAAGAGTTGATTGTTTTGCACTAAATGTTTTAAACACATGTCATAGTGGATTTTTAATATTATTGACTCCAGAAAGATACAGTTTAGAAAACCTCAACTCAGCCTCGAGGCGTTCAGCCTGCTGCCTTCGCTTCTGCTGTTTTTTTTTTGGTTTTTTTTGCTTTCTTGATTAGTTGTTTATTTCTATTTTTACCACAGGACAACACCCCACATCCCCACCCCGCCCCGAGGCTATTAGACTGTCTAACTCCTCCTTCTGAGAGTTATCAAAACTACATTTATCTAAATTAATCTGCTTAGTTGTACATTTGAATGTTGGTTACATCCTCTTGGGTTTTTGTCTTCATTTCTTCTTCTTAGAGTGCATTTTCTGCTCCTTTTCAAATGCTCTTGCAGGAGCAACTGTAACACAGACCTTATTGATCTCCGAGGATCAATAAAGTATTTCTGATTCCGTTTATAGTAGCTTCTCTAATATCCTAACTGTTATGCGCTCTGTTAAAGATTTTGCTGATGAGGCAAATATTTACAGCCTAATTACGCAACATACACGTTAATGTCAACCACGTATACACACAGTGGCCCCAACCCAACAGCCTTCCTTTGCCAGTATTATAGCAACCCCCCAGCCCGACCCCCACGCCCCCACCCTAAATGTCGAGTGCGGTCGTAGTCTGTGTCATTACGGCTGCTCTGTTATGGGCAGCAGTAAAGAGATGGAAAAGCTATGGATTCACGGGGCGCTTAATGTCTGTGTTAATGACCAGTCAGAGATCACTGTGGAGCTGGAGGGGGGCGGGGGGAT